GTCAGGGGCGCCCTGAGGGTCTTTATTCTCCCTGCTGCGATCGCCGCCACAGCCCCGCGACTGGACGAGCTCCATTGAGCCCTTGCCCCCTGCGTTCGCTGAGCCGGGAGCGTCTGGCTGTTGAATAAGAAAGCGCTCTTTTCTAAACGAGTTTCTAAATTTACCCGCAGTGGCCAAGAAGAGGCCGACACATGCATATTCAGTACCGACAACGACTGGCACGCTTTTTTTTTTCCTTGACAAACTGGGCTTTGCTCCTTGAAGGGTGGGCGGGGACGTGCTGTTTTTATAAAAATGTCAAGGAGCTTCTCAGAATCACATTAAGCATGCTAATTACCAAATATCAAATGCTAATTGCTCTACAGGCAGTTGAAATGATCGAGGCAGGGAGATGAGAACTGGTGCGAGCTAGCTTTTTGACTGGCGTTTTGCAGCGCTGGCCTGAGGTGGGGGAGGGCTTGCCCGACCTAACGAGATGAAAACACCAGTTGTTCTTGTGCCTTGGCTGGCTTTCTGTCTTTTCAAAGGTAGGGTGAGGCCCGTGCAGTTACATGCCCCATATCCTGGGGTGTAAGCCGAGTTTTCAAGCACATTTTTAATGCAGTGTTTGTGGTAAAATTAGGTGCCTCGGCTGATTTTTGGGCCGCCTTATCCTTGAGTATATAAGGTAACTGCTAGGAGAGAGGGTCACGGAGCGAAGACCCTCTTCAGTGGAAGGATCGCAAGATGGGCAGTTCCCATCCACGTGGCCAGTGACTAAGACCTGATCTGTTCCAGCCCTATACTTGGATCTTGGTGCTCCCGTCACACCTGTGCTTTCCCCCACACCAAGGCACGTGCCTGTCTGTTCGGCTGTGTGACTGAGGCCGTGAAATGACAGAGGCTAGAGATGGTGTCTGTGGACCGAGGAGGCACCAAGGGGAAGGCCAGGGCCCAGGCACCCAGTGGGCCAGCCTTCCTGGCTTTCTTGTCAGCACCACACAGCTGCCTGGAGGCCTGCCTGGGGGAAGGCAGTGGGAGGGTTACCCACGACCCTCCATCCCTCCTACACCTTGAACCAAGTGCGGCTTCAGTCACTGTACCCTCCCATGGGAGGGAGGATCACAGCACACAGCCTCTGCCTCCTGTCGAGGAGAAGTTGGTCTCCTGCACCCGCCGGGCCAGTGTGGGCTGCATTGACTCACACCTTCTCAGGTGCAGAGAACACCAAGGTCTCGAGATTATGGGCAAAAAGGTCCCTGAAGGTACAGCCCAAGAGCTCCCAAAGGCCGCCAACTCAAGATCACACCAAGGAGAACATTGTGGCATCACAGGTGCCAAGTCAAGTGAACCAGGGCCTCCGCTGACCCAGAGGGTCTGGAGGTGGGTGCGTGCTCCCAGTGCTGACGTGCCCGGACAAGCCCGCTGTAAAGGGCTGCTGTCCAGTGAGCACTCACCTAGCAAACCTCCTAGTGAGCGCAGAGCAGTCACAGTGTGGGGAAGGGTAGAGGTGAGCAGTGGAGTGTGCAGCTATTGAATGGGGCTCTCCTAGCCAGTTCAACACCCATCCCTGTGTGCCTCTGGTAAGAAGGTGGGGGAGATACTGACAGGATTCCCTGCAGTGCCATCCTCACGTGTATGAGATGAGTCCGCTGAGGAGTGGAGCTCCCCCTCAGGACCTGAGGTCCTGCACAGGGAACCTCTGGGGTCCAGACAACAGCTATGTCATCGCGGGAGCCGCAGGAGAACCAGGAGTCTCAGAATATGCAAGAGGGTGAAGGACTTCCCAACCCACGGGGCAAGGAGAGCTGGGTTTTGTGCAGGAGGCACTTAACTGGGGGCAGTTGGACCCCGATTGCTGACCCATGGGAGTGGAGATGGGTGCCTGTGGGCGGAAGCTTCCTGGACCTGGAATGAGGTGCCTCTGCCAATTCAGGGAGCCGGCTTTGCTGACCCATGGAGTTGAGGCTGACAGGTGGCCTTTGGACATTATTAGCAGACCTGAAATAACTTTGTGACATGTCGGAATCAAATGACTCTGAGCATTTCTCACAGACACCATACTTGTTAACGACCCTAATGAACCTTCATCTTGAACTGTCTATAAGCAGATCTGTAGCCATGGCAATGATGTCACAGCCGAGAGATGACGTGGTGAGGTGCCCTTGGGGACACCTGGTCTGACTCGCGCCCTCAGCCACTGGGGAGAATGTTTGGCAGCTGCTGCTTCGGAGTCATGTTTCAGGCACTGGGTTCAGCCAGGCAGACAGCTGTGGTTATGAGTGGGCACAAATTCGGCCATGACGGTGTACTGCTTGGTGGAACGGCACCCCAAACAGCAGCATGGGACTCCTTGGGCAAAGAACCCTTCTGCTCATAAGTTCTCTCTTCCACCTACAAGCGCGCCCCGGAGCTGGGAAATACCGAGAGCAGCTCCTGACTGGCTCACACAAGCCCTCGGTGAACTCGGCCTCCTGCTCCTGCCCGGACTCGATGCCCAGCCATCAGCCTGGGCTGCTCCCCAAGCCCTGGGGGCCTCCGGTCGCCAGCTGAGGCCAGGACTCGGCTTTAGGGTTCCCCTGACCAAATGAAATTTCAAACACACTCGCCGACTAATGCCAACTTTTATTTGTCAAGAAAAGATGTTTAGGAAGACTTTAAACAATCCTTGGTCATCATCTTTTAAAATGAATCATAAAAAAGGAGTTGACACGCAGGGAAAACTAGTAAGGTTAACTTCCCAAGAAAGGACAAAGGATGACTTGCCCCTGGGAGAGGCGAGCCCACTGTGGCCCAAGCATGCCTGAGAAGCACCTGGAACGCTTGCTCGGAACAGGGTCCAGGCCCCACCCTAAGCTCTGGGCTCGGGCCCATCTCACATGCTTCCACTCAGAGGGGGGATGGGGGAGGAACTGCTCTGGGCCCCAGAGACTCTTGAGACTGTGGGAAGAGGAAGCCCCAGCTCATCCCTGTGCATCGGCTGCTGATTTCGAGCTGTTGATAATTGCGGCTAGCACCAAAAACCCGTAACCCACCGCACCACCAGGGCTCCCACAATTGGAATCGCCTCACTGGCAGCGAGTTTATTTATTTATTTAGGGTTTTTAACACTCTCCTAGGGGGGACCCTGGGAGGAGCACCAGCAGTGATGGCTTACAAGGTGCTCTGACCTGCTTCTGACTCAAGGGCCGGTGTCACTGCCTCCTCTGTGAAGCTCTGGGACCTCCTCACCACAAAATAACTCTCATGAGAAGCAATTCCCACTCATCTGCCTTAAAACGAGCATGCGCCAAGAGGCGGTTCTTTGTCCTGCAATAGCTGCCCTTTCAAATTCTATGACAACAGAATGGTAGGTTTTCAGTTGGACACAGGCATGATTGACATCATGACATTTCCCAGCAGCCTCTGCTGTGGTCATGTGACTTAAGTTCTGGCCAACAGGAGGTAGAAGTGGGCTGGCTGGGTTAGAGATGTCATGGCTCACCATGCGGCCCCCCTCCTGCCAAAAAGAACAAAAAAAAGATGTAATGGCTGGAGCTGGGTACCACCCTGGACCAAGAGGAGGCGGCCAGCATGTATGTGTCTGAGCAGAAATGCCACCTCTCTGCCACTGCTGGTCTGGCATTTTTTGTCAGTGTCCAGCAGGGTTCGATACAGCATCCCAGGCCCACTCTGAGGCAGGCCGCGGCCGCTGCCCCTTTGCTTGGCTGGGAGCTCCCACAGGCACACACCCACGGACTGGACTGGTGACAACAAAAACCCATGGCATCCTTCTGTGCACCCCACTAGCCCACCCGAGGGTTAGGGGAAGCAGACAATTCTTAGGATATAAGCAGAGGCTAAGTTAAAGATGTACAAAATAAATGTAGTGTTCTATTATTTAGGATAATATAAAAATGAAAAGTAGAATGTTTACAAATAGTGGGATGAGAAGTTTCATAAACATCAAAACACCTTAGAAACATAAACCAATTTTTTAACATAAAAAGCACGGCAGGCGGTGAGTCCGTCCGTCTATGTGAGGAGGCCTGGGGTGGTGGCTGGGGGATGGGCTCCCCTATCGATCAGCCCAAGGGCTGGCGGTTTGGACCCATCTAGACGCTCCTCAGGAGACAGGCCCAGTGGCCAGCTTCTGAAAGGTCACAGCCAGTGATCGCCTGGGAGTGCACACGTGGATTGCCATGAGTTTGAAACAGACTTCATGGCAACGCCCCCCCCCCCATCCACCCCCACACATAGAAAAACCTGTGGGAACGGTGAGGACACGGGTGAGTAGTGTATGTTTCAGTGGGCCACATTTCCTACAGGGAATGCCCTGCGATTCATACAACTAGAAAAAAGCGGAGGTAAAACCACGGGGGGAGAGCAACTGCGACAGCCTTACCAGCAGGGCTACGTGGGCAGTTGGATGACAGCCAGATGCCCCCTGCTCCTTCTGGGGGGGCCACTCGCTCTGCCCACAGCCAGTTGCAGAAGGTCACCTCACCTCAGCAGGAGGGGTCAGGCACCCATGGGCCCAAGTCTGGTGGCAGCAAAGGAAAACCCAGGAAGCAGCTCTCTCCAGGAGGAATTATTTTTAATGGTTTAAAAGTAAGTTTGTACAAAACCAGCACCCCCATTGGATACTTCCAGTCCACGGGGGCCTCCCCAAGGTCTCGTCCAACGCTATCTCTTTGGCCAATGGTGTCTGAAACCTCTGCAAAGAAAGCATGAGCCCAGGGTTACCCAGGCCTGTTCCATCTGCCCCCCCTGGGGCTTCCCCAAGGCTGTCGGGCATGCTGGTGCAGGACGGGTGGTGAGGGCTGAGCGAGGCTCTGGGCCGAGCCACAGAGCTGGCTTCAGAACGTAAGTCCCAGGCCGCCCCTCAACCCTGGCCACCCTTAAAGCATGACAACTCAGGCTTGCAACCACAAGTTCGTCAGCAACCACCACCCACAGCTACTTCCTGCTCTTTCCCTCCCTCCAGGCACCATGAGATGGGGAAGCCTCCAGGCTCTGGGCTGTGAGAGGCCACGGGGAAATGCCTGGCAGCTGGTGAGAACGAGGGACCACTGACACTCAGTCATGGAGGCAGCCACAAACCACAGACTTGTGGCTTTAGGCGATCGTTTCCCCACCCTAGTTTTCTGCACGCTAAGTTGGGCCTTTGGGCTCAGCTCAGCTCCCCTGGCGCCAGGCCCCCTGGCAGGTACACAGCGGGGGGAGGTGCTCCCTTTCTGGGCAGCAGGGTCACGTGGTGCGCATGACCTACCTGTCCGATGTTCCAGTGGGGAAGGACATGCTTTTGTTTCCCGTTGCCTGCTTCCGTTTTTTGGCTGCGATGCATTTCTGAAAGGTAAGAAACCACTGAAGCGGCTGACAAGGACCTCCGTGAGACACAGGGAATGCACTGACCGACCCGATGTCATGTCACTGGACCCTTAGATGGCAGTGCCCCTCGGGGTCTCGCGCGGGGACGTGGGAAGAAATGAGCAGGGGAAAGATGTGCACAGGGAAGGATTCCCTGCTGGGCCCCCCTCCCTGTGCCAGTGCGTGCTAACCCGAACCTGGGGTCTTTCTTACCTTGCCAGCTGGCGTCTGCTGATTCGGATCAAATTGGGAAGGCTTGGCTTTGCTGTTTCCTGGAAGAGAGGCGGCAGCTATCACGCAGGGGCTCCCTCGTGGCCAGGCACTGGGAGCCATCAGTCAGTGAGCCACAGGTGCACGGAGTGGCTCGTGGCTCATGGACAGCGATCTCAGAGCAGGCGCCAAGTGCGAAGGTCTGTGTGAACTTGACGGTGCCCCGGAGGGTACAGGGGCCGTTCCTTCGAGAAGCCTCTTTTCTTTCTCCCAGAGGGCCGTGTTGCTCAGGGCCACGGCAGAGGCCGGGAGCCAGTGAAGCCCCTCCAAAGCGGACAGACCCTGAGAGAACCGTGACTCACAGACATCACCGTTTCCCAACCAAACTCTGTGTGTGTGCGTGCAGGGGTGTGTGTGTGTGTGTGTGTGTGAGAGAGGGAGAGAGAGAGAAAGCAAGCGCGTGCGCAAGCGGCATTGTTCCCGGGCACAAGTCCCGTGAGGAGCTGGCCCACAGTCCAAAGGATGGAGGCCCCTCCCTGGATGCCTAGCTGGCTTCTGTGGGGGAGGGGTGGGCTTCTGCCCGTCTCCGTTTCTGTGGACTGTCCCCACTGCTCTTGTCGGTGCAGGTCTTGGGCAGGCTCGATCTGAGTCTGGACCAGGCCCCTCCCACCACAGCGACCAGTCTTTTCTCCCGGCCACTACCCCCTTCTCACCTGCAAAAGCCTTGAAATCGGACTTGCTGTAATCGTAAGGGGTGAACTCTCTCTCCACGGCGTCTGGGCCCTTGGGCTTCTTGGAGACTTTGAGCCGTTTCTTGCCTTGCTTCTGCTCCGTGGTCTTCGGGTCGCTCGTCGTACGCTCTCTCTTTTTGACCGCAATCTCCAGCTGCGTGTTTGGTGGACGGGGGAAAGCGGCAGAGCGTGTGAGAGAGGGGTGAGTCCAGCTGCCCCAGGGACTGCAGACCACCGCCAATCGGTCGCCTCTGTGGTGTGGAAGGGGACTGCCTCGGCGACGGGAGAGGACGGGGCTGCGTTTCCAAGTGGCTCTGGGACCGAAGGACAAGCACACTTAGGCTCGTCCTGCTGGGAACTCTGCATTCTTACCTGGAAGGTGGCATCAGGCCACTTAAGAAGGCCAGGGTTAAGCTAAGAATCCCAGGCCCTCGGGGTGGGGAGGGGGTGCAGGAGGGACCTGAAGCGGGCAGAATAGGACACAGCCGGGGCTTCAGGGACTTGTACCGGGCAGACAGGCGCCGTAATCCCACAGGTAGCGGGATTACGGCGCCAGGGGAAAGGTGGGCACTTGAGGAAAAGCACACCCGAGCCACAGAGAGGGAAGCATGTCACGGAAGTGGGGGGCATGCCCCCACTTCCTCCCCAGATATGAGAGCAATCCCAACTAGCTCCAGGGCCCACTTTCTCAGACAACCAAGCAGAGGAGGCCCACGTACCGCGGCCTGCTGTCGCACGGACACAGCCTGTTCCACGGTGGCTTTGTACTCTTCCTTCGCCTGCTCCCGGGCGGCTGCAAGGGAGAACTGCTGTTGGAGGTGCTGCTGCCCACGGCCAGGTCACCGCCCCCCCCTTAGCAGACTCCGAGCTCGAGTCCCTACAGCTGCGCCCTTCCCTTCACTGGCCTGAGTGCTCGGCTCCTCTCCCAGGACAGACCACCTCAGGCCTCCTCGGCACCCTCCCGACCAGAGACCAGAGACCAGAGACCCCGCGGCCGAGGTGCATGCGATCCCGCCGCCGAGGACGCCCAGCAGAGAGGGCAACAGTGTCAAGGTTCCAACCCCCGCCTGCTCCTTAAACCAGCTCTGTTGACACTCTCGGGCAACGACAGCAACACCCTCGACAGGAGCAAACCTCCCCCAAGCAAGGGAGTGGGGGCTGGGCAGGGAGGCCGCTCCACTGGTGGCTGACTGGCGGCACACTGACGGGTCGAGCTTACAAGGAAGGGGTCTTACCTGTCTGCTCAGCTGCCTTCTTTGCAGTTTCTTTAGAGTCTTTGGGTGCCTGTACCTGGCTTGCCAGCTTCCAGCGGCTGCTAATCTACAATGGATACAAAATTCCAAATCCCCAAATTCAGACATTCTTAAAACAGCAGCAGCAATACACAAACCCACCTCCATCAAGCCCACTTGGCTCATAGTCACGCTGTGGAGCCGAACAGAGGCCCTGGCTGGCGCGTCCATAGGAGCAGACAGCCTCATCTTTTCCGTTCCAAGTGGCTGGCAGGTTTGCACTGCTAATCTCAGGGTTAGCAGCCCAGCGCTTAACCCACGGGGCCACACCAAGGGCTCCCAGGCACCTTAAGAGGGCCCTATTTCTTAATGAGGCGCAGTAGAGCAGGCTCCCCTAACTACACACAGGAACGACAGAGTCCCACCCTAAAGAGATGATGTGGACAGTCAACACCACACCGCTCACTTTCTCTGTAAAACACTAATGCGGCCGCAGCTGTCCGCTGACCCCATCCCCAAGTTCCCTGGGACAAATGCACAATGGTCTCTCTCAGAGAGGAAGAGGCAGGCTCATTGTCCGAGGGGTGCACAGCTGGCACGTGACAGAGCTAAGGTCCCCGTCAGGGCTTCTGCAAGTCATGGGCGGTGAGAAATGAGTCTGCCTCATGGGCCACAGCTAGGGAGACAGGAGGGGACAAGGCAAAGTGCCCCTTGGCGACAGGGCCTTGGGCAGGCAGCGTCTGGCCTGAGCCTCCCGCCTGCCCTCATCTGCACGGCAGAGAAGGGCTCTTCACTGGGAAGCACCAGCTGCCCCCGGGGCCTCCGAGACAGGTGGTCTTCCCCCGCTGTGGGCAACTCACCGCAGTGACAATCGGAGTTGCCACTCACTGTAAGGAGCCTTGCAGTAACTGACGTGTGGAAACAGGCATGGAGCGTACAAGTGACAGCCGAGCCTCCTGCTCTGTGTAAACGAACCCTCAAACCTCACAGAAACACAAAACATTGTTTCCTGAAAGGTTTCCAGAAGCTTTGGAGACTGATGTTGGCTCTGGGCCAGGCCTTGAGTAATGGTCTGGCTCTAAGGCCTTTCTGTCTCCCCCGACTTTCAGGGAGACGGCAGCCCGGCCGACCCGGGGGCTTGGTCCGAAAGGAAACCTGGTGCTGCTCTTCCATCAGGGGGGTTCCCGATTCAGCCGCACCCCTCCCCCACATGCCTGGGCAAGGATTCAGTTACATTAACAAGCCACATGGTGTGGGGCGGGGCTTCCAGCTCATCACCCGTGCAGGCACCTTTTCCCCAATACCTGGGCCTGTTGAGTTGCTTCCGATGCAGGGACCCTAGGGGACAAAGTAGGACAGCCCCACTGGGGTCTCAAGGCCATGTAATATCAAGTGAGCACTGAACCAGTGTGCCACCAGGGCTCCTGAGATGACAGAAGCACACACAAATGTGGGCAAGATAGCTGCCCATGGAGGTCTCCAAGGGGCATGGGGAGGGGGAATGGGGGGCAAGGATCCCCCAAGCCGGCAGCCCCCAGGTAGACTTCTCCCTCTTACACTGTAGCAAGGCATATGTCTGGTCATCAGCCACCACTTACGCTATTTCTGTGACGGGAGCCTACGAAACTAAGACGAAAGGACTCTACATTTTGGGGACAGGTGACAAATCCACTTACTTCGTAGATTTTGGAGGATGGGTCAAACTTGGCTGCCTGCGAGACGTGGGCCCGGCGATGGCATGAGGGCAGGTACTGGAGGAACGGAGACTGGCATGTTAGAGGGGACCCAGCACGGAGCCCGGCCTTTTTCTTGGCTTCCTTAGAAGCTCAACTCGACGTCTTGGCCGGGAGACCCAGGCATACGTCCCGAGAGGCCTCCTCTCTCTAAAGACCCGCTGCCTTCTTTTCTGGGTCCAAGGCAGCTGTGCCTACAGAACCCCCCTCCCCCGACTCCCCAGTGAACTCCATCAGGCTTGAGGCACCTCTCTGTTACTCACCATTCGAAATGGATTTTCAAAGGACTCCATTATGCTCTGGGCCTTTTTCTGTGCAACTGTTAGGGGACACTTTCCATTTTCCCCAGCACTAGGCTCCTGCGGGGGCAGAGCACATGGGAAAAGGTCACTTGTTGCTTACTACTCACAGCAAGACTGCTGGCTTGTTTTTCTGACTCGCTCCTATGGATCAGCCCTGGGAGGGCACAGACAGGGTGGCAGTACAGAAGTCCCCGGGTGGCAAAGAAAGGAGCCCTTGTAGTGTAGTGGGTTACTCACTGGGCCAACAGCAGTTCAAATACACCAGGGAGACAGATAAGCTTTCTGGACCCATAAAAACACAGTGTCAGAAATCCACTGAGGCAGCTGTTCTACCCTCTCCCCAGGGGTGGGGAAGTCAGAGTTGCGGGTAGTGAGTTTGCTTGTTGCTTTGGCTGTGTGCCTCACTGCATGTCCCAGAGATCAGGAGTATGCACCCACCCAGAGGCAGCTCAGAAGGCAGGCCTGCGATCTGCCTTGGGAACCCACTGGAGCAGGTGCTGTCTGTCCACACGGGGCGGCCAGGAGTCAGGAGGGGCTCACCGGCAACAGAGTGCTTGTCAAAGGCGGAATTGTCCCCACTGCCTCCAATTATGGATAGTCCATGGCAACACTCTACCTGTGGCAATCTGGGGACGGGTGGTTGTGGTTACATTAGTGAGGCAGGCTCTGTGGAGGGGAGGATTCGGGCCAGTCTCTTATAAAAAGAACAGCCAAGTCAGCAGAGATGGAGATGCTGAGAACAGACGTAGGTCCACGAGACACAGAAGCTCCCCAAGAGCTGACCGAGAAAAACGCTTCTCCGCTAGCCAGCACTCTCCACCCAGACTGCTGGGCTCGCCCCTCCCTCCCTGGACACACAGCGTGCAGGGAGGCGACAGGCTGCTCGAGACTCCGCCAGGCACCTGCATCTTTTTTAGTAGCAAAAAGAGTCTTTACTTAAATGCCATTAATGTAGGCTACACATATTTCAACAATTATATGAGTTTTGTATTTTAAGATTTCAGAGACATTCCTTCAGGCACACAAAATAACCAGAGAAGCAGGACTCGATGAAGAAGAGTGGACAGTAGGCAAAGGACGTGTTAGTAATACTGTGCGATACAAAGATGACCTGCTGAAAACGAGAAAGATTTGAAGGCCTTGCTGATGAAAATCAAGGATTGTAGCTTTCATTATTGATTACAACTCAATGTAAAGAAAACAAGAGTCCTCACAACGGGACCAATCGTTACCGTCATGATACACAGAGAAGCTCGACTTGTAAAGCATTGGGCTTGGATACACAATCAGTGTTCACGGAAGCAGTAGTTGAGGTCAAAGGATGCACCGTAATGAAGTTATTCAAGAAGCCACTGCATCACTTTGATAACTCATAGCAACCTGTGCTCTACTAGCCTCCTAGGCTTCTTTCTCACACTGGCTAATGCAAGGCCCGTGCAGAACTGACAGCACTAAGTTAGATGACACGGTCAAGTCCGAGAATCCTGTCTGTCGCCCGTTGCACTGTCAGTTTCTCTTCCCAGGATCTGTCCGGTCTCCCCCCCTGGCTGTTCTCTGCGGCAGTCAGAGCTCCAGCAGTCCGTTCTCCTTGGGTCTGGCGTTTCAGCACTCAGTAGTTCTGACCGACAAACACTCCTGGGCTTCCTTGTGTAAGGACCCCCGGGCCAATGACCAGCAGAAACAAGAAGGCGTTTCATAGGAAGGGCAGCCTGCAAGGCCTTCTTGTAGTCCAATATGTACTCCAGCTGGCCGCCCTGGGCCTCCACCCAGCCTGGAGCCACCGCCCACCCTGACTCAGTCTCCTTCAGGAAGGGAAAGCAGGGTTCCTCGCCCGCCTCGGTCCTGCACACCTGCTCTTCACTTTCCTGCGGAGGCAAGGCTCCGAGACACGCTCCTCTTCTCCCCTCGGGGCCGTTAATGGTGATGGCGCAAGCAGGGCGTGCAGGGCGGATCCCACGCCACAGACCACCAGGGCCACTTGCTCAGGGCCTGCTGGGAAGAACTGCCCCGACCACACTGGTCATGAAGACCAGCTCCCACCTGGACTAGACGCAGCCCTTCTCCTGACTGTGCACAGTGCTGACACACAGCCAACTAAACCTCCCAGGTCCCCTGTGCCCAGCTGACTGAGAGGCCCCTTCCCACACAGAGCTCCTCCTCTGGAGGAACAAGCACCCAGGCCAGGCTCCCGCCTGCTCGCCCACACTGCGCGGTCTTCCTTCTGGCGTTAGCCTCGGAGGTGCACGCGACAGGCCGGGCAGACAGACAACCCAGTAAGTCCCTGTGAACGACATCACTGCGCGGTGTCTGGATGACTCACGCTAAACAAGGTGATGACAGCAGCAGCAAGCAGGCATTTGGTATCCAGGGAGGCCTCCTCTTCCTCCTCCTCCTGGTCCGGGAAGAGGCCAGGCTGTTTCTGAAGTGGCACAGGGCCTGCGGGCAGAGAGGTCGATCAGGCCAAAGGCAGCCAGCTGGCCGAGGTGCCACACATCTGCCTTTGCAGGCTCGTGTAGGTCCCCAAGAGGCCCTTTCTCTTACCTTTGGTTGGGGCGAGGGGACAGCCATCCGGAGGGGCATGGGAGCAGTCATGAGGCCCAAAAAGAACATTCTCCAACCTCTGCATCACAAATGAAAGCAAGGGGTGGGCATGAGCCTCCAGTGGCAGGCCGGGAGCTCCCCCATGCAGGTCCTTCACCCATAGCCACCCCCACACGCTACCTCAGGGTGGGGCTGCGGTCCACTCTTCTTCACGCCAGCCGCAGCTTCAGACTAAAGAGGAGAGCAAAGAGAAAGTGAGGACGATGCCACACACCCCTTCCCTGGCACCACGGAGGGCCCTTCCTCTGTGTGGCCTGGCACCATGGAGGGCCCTTCCTCTCTGTGCGGCCTGGCACGTGCAGGGGCTCCGTCACTGTATGCTGAGTAAGAGAATGAAGCCCTTCATCGTGCGGTGGCCTGCGTGGTGTGTGCTGCTGGAAGCTGTCACTGGCATTCCAAAGTCCAGCAGGGTCACCCAGAGTGGACAGGTTTCAGCGGAGCCTCCAGACTAAGACAGACCACAGAGAAGGGCTTGGCGAGCCACTTCAGAGGGAGAAGCTGCTGAAAACTTTTCAAATACTGAAACCCTAGACAAAAAAACCCAGAACATTTTGGGGGATACAGGATTACTGTACCCAACAGAACTAGTGGGGCTCTTTGGTCTCAGCTGCAGAAGGGAGATGAAGGGCACGGCACTGTTTGTTGCCCTAGGCTGCAATGCTGCCACGGTGGCTCCCCGGCCTAAAGCAAATGTAGCTACCCTGCCAAGTGCAGGAGAAGTCTAAGGGGAGGGCCAAGGCCAAAAGATGAAGCACCACTGGTACTGGCCGACTGGGACACCCCAGATTCAGGCATGGGTTACGGGAAGGAAGAACGCCAAAACCCAAGAGGGCACTTGTTGCAGGATCTAGTTCCTCTTAAGGATTTCAGCATTTAGGAAAAACAACCCCACCTAGTCAACATCCCCCCATCCCAGGAGGTAGCGGAGGAGCCAGAACCGATGGTGCTGGAGGCATTAGCTAAACAAGGGCCCAGGAATGGACGGAATCCCAACTGAAACGTTCAGTAAGATGAAGAAGCACTGGAAGCACTCACCTGTCTATCTATGCCAGGAAGTTTGAAATACAGCTACCTGGTCAACTGACCGGAAGAGATCTAGAGTTGTGCCCATCCCAAAGAAGATGACCCCACAGAAAGCTCAAATTGTAGAAAGATACCAATATATAACATGCAAGTAAAACTGAGCTGATGATCGCCCAACAACGGTTGCAGCTGCCCATTAGCAGGGCACTTGCCAGAGGTTCAGATGGATTCAGAAGAGGACGTGGAACACGGGCTATCATCGCTGATGTCAGGTGGACCCTGGCTCAGAGCAGAGAATACCAGAAAGACGTTCGCTTGTGCTTCAGGACTACGCAAAGGCATTCGACTGTGCGGACCATCATAAACTATGGATAACTCTGAGAAGGACGGGAATTCCAGAAGACTTTCTTGAGCTCAGGAGGAACTTGTATGTGGATCAAGAAGCACTTATGTGAACAGAACAAGGGAATATCGCGTGGTTTAAAGATCAGGAAAGGTGTGCATCAGGGCTGTAGCCTCTCACCATACTTGGTCAATCTGTAAGCTGAGCAAAGCATCAGAGAAGCTGGATTATATGAAGACGTGAAATCAGGATGGGAGGAAGGCTTATTAACAACCTGTGATGTGCAGATGACTCCACCTTGCTTGCTGAAAGTGAGGAGGACTGAAGCGCTTGCTGATGAAGATCAAGGACTGCAGCCTTCAGTGTGGATGACAACTCCATGTCAAGAAGTCTCGAAGCCTCACCCCTGGACCAATGGAGGAAAGGCTGGGTGGTCAAGGATTTTGTCTTTCTTGGATCCACAATCAATGCTTAGAGATGCAGCAGTCAAGAGATCAAAAGATGAATTGCATTAAGTCAATCTGCGCAAGACCTTTTTAGAATAGTCAAAAGGAGGGACAGTACTTAGAGGACACTCCACTGCGCCTGACCCTTGCCGTGGTATTCTCCAAGGCATCACGTGCTGGTGAACGCTGGACACGGAATAAGGGAGACCACAGAAGGATGGATGCATTCGGACTGTAGTGCTGGAGAAGAATATGGGAAGTAGCATCAAGTGCTGAAAGAACACACCAATCTGAGCTGGGAGAAAAAGGTCAGAGCGCTCCTTAGAGGCAAGGGCGGCAAGACTTTCCCAACTACTTTGGCCACTTCGTCAGGAGAGACCAGTCCCTGGAGAAGGACATCATGTTAGTGATGTGAAAGAGGAGGTGTTTTGAGGATGGGCAGGGCGTCCCTATGGGTCAGAGCCAACCACTCGAGGGTACCTAACGACAACAAAGCTTACTCTCGGGGGATTCCAATGAGCTGCAGGAAAATTCTCCTTAGTTACAACCATTTCACTCGGGTAGATGTGAGACATTTTTAGGTAATAACTGAAAATGTCTTCTGCCTCAGATTTTTCTTTTTTCCTCTACTTCCAGAGTTTTTGAGTCTCCCACGATCAATAAACTTTCAAACCTCATTTACAATATTCCACGAAGACTACTGAGTCGACATCTCTAAAATCGTTGCGATAAAACAAAAGTGAGAAGACGCACAATAATGCCGCACTGCCTACAGACCTGCACAAACGCTCCGAATACGCGAGTGAGCTCTTCACCTGTGTGCACACCAGGGACGTCCCGGAGAGCTTCAGATCGCTCACACTCACCTGTGCACGAAGGCTGGAGGGTGCAGCTGAGTTAGAGGCACCTTGGAAGAAAGTCCTGGTGAACCACTTCCCCCCAAACCAGCCACTCACCACACAGTCCGACTCCCCACACCTGAGGGTCCTCCTCAGTCAACTGAATGGCTCCCAGCCGCCTCGTCTTTACCTTTGGGGCGAGCCGTCTCTGACCCCACCTCCATTCTTCCATATCCCAGCGCCTCTTACAAAACACCTCCAAAGTACTAGCACTGCCTCCAGAAACAGACCGCCCCTTCACGGTTGCGGTCCACCTGTGTCTCTCTGCGGCTGCTCCTCTCCTGGTGATTTCCTTTCCACCCCAGGAACTCCCACTCACGGGGCAGTGCCTCCATGGTGCTCACTGCCAGGCTTCCCGACAGCTTCCCACGGCTGTGACCCCACTCCACGTCTGCCACCAGACCAACCGCCTCAGAGCAGCTCAGCCCCCAGAGATCACGCCATATGGCCCATGAAAGGAGACCCAGACCCACCTAGAAGCACTGCTCAGTGCTCCTCGTACAGAACTGACAGCTATCCATCTGACAGAAATGCCAGAGGAAAAGCTCCCTTAACACCAACCCCCACGCCCAATGTAACAGAGCTCCATCCTGGAAGAATTCAATCTGTGCAGGCAACAACTCATGGGCTGCAGCTGGAAGCTGGACTGGACTTACATAAACTTCGCGACAGGACCTTACATTCTATGCTGTTGGGTAAATTACCCGTGTTATCCAGGCAATGGCCAGGTAACCCAGGGGATGACTGACCACATTCTTCGGGTTTTTTGTTGTTTTGGGTCGTAATAGGATAATATGGTTGTAAACCAGCTGTTCAGAACCCATGGACAAGCAGCTGGATTATGGGCCCCCACTAATTCTACCCTCAATCCAAGAATAGTTAGTCCTTTTAACATGGCCCTGCTCGATACTCGATACCTGCCTTCGTGACGAGATCACTGAAAATGAAGGGTGCTACAGCACAGGGTGGTGAAGAAAGCAGATGGTGCCCGGCTATCGATTGGAATAGGGTCTTTTAAGGCTTGTATTCAAACCAACCGCCATCTAAGTGAGACGTCAGCTCAGTGCACACAAAGATGAAAACAAAATCCAATTCGAGCTTAACTTTTGAACATACGATTTATGGAAGGCTGTGGAGGAGAGTGGGAGCCCCACATCCATCTGTAGGGTCTCTAGTCCGATGAAGCTGGCCGCTCCCCTCGGGCCAGGGGAGGGGCTCCAACAGCACCCGACTATGAGAAACTACTGTCACCTTGATCACGGTGGCTCGGACTGCCACTGAAGGTGATGCTTGGTCAGCTGACCTCCCTCTTGACCCAACCTGAATCTTTTCGTTCTGTTTCCTTTCTGGTTTTTGTTTGTTACGTCTCCCAGTTTATGAAGCACAGAAGGAGAGGGTGCCCAGAGACACTGACTGATGCAATGGTTCACCTGGCGCGGGGCGGGGCGAGTGGGGGCAGTCAGGGAGTAAATAACGAGGGCAGGAGTCGGAGAGGAAGCACTGAACCGCGGTGATGGTGTGCGACAACTCTTAGACTGGACTGTGGAAGTGCATGTGAGCTTCACATCAATAAAATTATTAACAACAAAAGGTTAGGCCATGCTCTAGTTCCCGAGAACAGACAAAACACAGCTGAACCCCCAAAGACACCCCATCCCGACTTCCACTGCTAGCAACCCATCGTCCCATGAGGGTTTTTAAAGAGTGGAGAGCAGCTCCTGCTGGCATGGTCTTCAAAAGGTTCATGGGGAAACAGGGCGAAAGACTGCTGACGTCTTCCCAGCGACTCTCTGAAGCCCTCCCCGGCGCTGGAGAACGCATGCAGCCAGATGCTGGGCTGGGGCCCTGGAGCAAGAAGGCTTCTTACCTTGAGCAAGGGCATCTCTCGAGCCTGCTGGATGAGCAGGTGCAGTTCATTGATCTGCTGCCGAACAAGAGGTGGCACGGGGTTACAGCACGCGACGATGCCCTGAGGTTCCCTGTGGACACGGGAGAAGCAGAGCGGAGCTGAAGAGCAGGGAGACACGGTCCTCCATGAGAGCAGAGTCCACAGAGCCACACGACCTTTCAGTGGCTTGCTCTCAGCGGCTGCCTCCTGCCCACAGGAAAAGCTTCGATCACACCCCGGCTTGCTGAGAGGTCTCAGCTCTGCAGTCTGCAAAGGGGGGCCTGTTTGATTCTTGGCTTGTACTTCAAGCCCCATGACGGTTATGACAGCACATTTCTAATCACGAGAGGCCTTCATTTGGAAGAAAGCACAGATGAAAGTCACTCTTCCCTGGAAAGCAGAGGCCATGGGCTGAACACCTCCCACTGGCCTCAGTCAAAACCAAAATCCGGGAAAGAGTTCCAGCACATTAGATTCATGGTTAACTGGCCGCCCGAGGGCAGAAGCGCCTGAACTTGGGTTGTGCTAACTTCCTTAGGCCCTCACCTGCTCGGAGTAAACAGGGCTGGGTAAGAGCAATGGAGGAACGTCCACGCGCACTCATCAGCTCAGATTACTCACTTTGGCAGTTCCTCGGATATCTTCAGCATCATGTGGTTCGGCAGGACGTATCTGGAACAGAGACATGAAGGAGCATGTTCGATTCAGCCCCAGGTGCTGGGGTAACCGGGGGAAACAACTGGCTTTCATGGTAAAGAAACTTCGCAGGCGGTCCCCCTGTGCCACAGCCAGTCAGTCTGGCGGCAAGCCTCCGAGGCTCTGCTCCCTCACCCGTAACTCTCATCCTCCCTGCGGGCTGTTCTGTCCCTCCAGGCAAACAGCAGCTGGAAGGCCGTCAACTGCTGGGTGTTGAGGTGCTTCTTTTGCTTCCGGTACAGGTCAAGGTAGGACTCATCCGTGTAAATGGGCTTGGTGAATCTCTGCAAAGCATTCCAGAAGATTCCAGATCAGTGGGCATGCCGACTGGGCCCCAGGCTCTTGCGAAGGTCTGGCTCCAGTCACCACTGGAAACAGCTCAGGAGGGCCAGGGCGTGGCCCTGTCATACCTTGAGGCAGATGTCCCTGCTCCGCTGCCAGACCACCTGCAAGTGCACCGGCCGCTCATTGCCTCGCTCCCACAGTTCCAGCCGCATTTTGTCGTAGATGTAGAGGAGGTAATGCGTGTCGTCACGGGCGTAGTACAGCATCTCCTCCGGCAGAGGTCTAGACACAGCACAGAAACTGCTCTCACCCACTTTCTCCTCGGAACACGTTCCCCACGGCCGGTACGACGAGACGGCAACCCTGCCTGCATCTCGGGTGACAGACCGGTGTTTTCACAGCTGGGGGTGTGTGTGTGTGTGAGTGTGTGAGATGACACAACAGCAGCCCTGTCGTCGTGAGACTGAAGGGCAGCGGTATAGTCGGTTCTTGAACAGGTTGCTGAACCTCTCTCAGCTCACGTTCCTTACCCGGGAGATGGGAACGTGACGTGCAGATTGCACAGAATGGTATCCCGAAAGGCCAAGGGGTTCAGTGCTCTGCACACAGTCAGGGGCTCAAAAGGCAGTGGCTTGAGGATGGACCAATGCCCTTGCACTTTATACTCAGACTTTACCTGAGAGTCTCCTTAGATCAGGGGTCCTCAAACTATGGCCCGCGGGGTGTTTTTGCCCCATTTGTTTTTTTACTTCAAAATAAGGTATGTGCAGTGTGCATAGGAATTTGTTCATAGTTTTTTTTATGCTATAGTCCGGCCCTCAGACCCGTTGGACAGTGGCCTGGCCCCGTTTAAAAAGCGTGAGGACCCCTGCTTTAGACGTTTGAGCAGGAAGAGTCAGTGGAGTCTTCTCGTGGGGGCGTGGACACAGCCATTTGCAAAACGTAAGGTTTCCGGGGAGGGCGGCTGAGTTCCATACAATCTTACGTTGCAGGACGACCTCATGACAAGACTAACTACTGGATTCCCGTGCAATTTCTCCATACTCCAGGGACATCGTCTCACACACAGTCAGCCCTCAGCCGGGAAGACCGAGCGGAAGACAAGAGACTGGTATGGGTGGGTTCCGGCAGGCCACATCCTGCCAACTGCTCTTCCCTGAGGTCGAGTGTAACAGACTCCGCCCA